TTTTTTAAGGAGAGGGAGGAGAGTTCGAAATTAATACATTGATTTAGCGGTGGGCTTCGTTGCAGCAAGCCACTTATGATTTCCGTGAATAGATCATCTCCGGATCTCTCCCACCAAATCCTAGGGATCCGAAGATCCGGGTTTTTGAAATTTGATCCAATAGCTACAAACAGGGGGTCTCTCTAAAAGTTATAATAATTGTACCCGTTGGATTAAATTTCAAGTGTCCGGATCTTCGGATTCCTAAGATTTGGTGGGCTCTTCCCTTGATTTCCAACGGCTTGGACACGTGGCGTTTTGAGGACCATTAATAATTTGGACCGTTGGATTTTCAAAAGCAAAAAAAAAATTGAAAATGTTACCATTGAGACACTTGAGAGTTTGGTGCACAAAGATAAGAGATTTGGATCATTTTCTGAGCCTAATGTAGAGGATCCTCCTGACCAATCATCGTGGACTGTTTGATTTTTATCTAACAACTACAAACAGAGAGGGTCCCCTTAAAGTTATAATAATTATAGCCGTTGAATAAAAATCCAACTGTCCAAGATAATTGACGAGGAGGATCATCTCCATTAGCTCATGAAAGGATCCAAATCCAAAGATAAGTACCATTCAGAGACCAACGATGAGCAATGTGACTAGTGTCGACAACACACGTGCGATGATGTGCCATCAAAGCAATCAAAATAAATATTTAAAAATAAAAAGAAATAAAAATCAAAGACAGACAAGTCATAATCATCATTATTTTGTAATCGCGTCCTTTCTCTCTCCTAAACCCGTTAGACGCAGACGCGCAGAGAGACAGAGACAGACACAAAACCCAGATCCCCCTCTTTCCTCAACCAAAAAAAATTAACGCCATATCCGACTTCTTTCTCTCTCCTCTCCTCTCTTCGGCCCTCTTTCTCTCTCTACATTTTTCTGATACAATGTAGGAAGAAGAAGATACCCCATTGTTGATTGAAAGCTAAGTCTTTCTATCTCTCCCTCTCTCTCTCCCTCTGATGCACACAACAAATAAGTGTGAAAGTGTAAGTTTGAAAGTGAAAGCTAAGTCTCTCAGAAGCACTTTCCGTAGAAACCCAGCAAAATCCATTCCTTCTGGTTCCTCAACATTCACTCTCTCTCTCTCTCTCTCGCGGGGCTTGGTTATTTAATTCCTCTGGGGATTCTGTGATTTGGGCATTCGAGCTGAGATGGGTTTTGCGTTTCGGAGCAATGTGGGTTGAATTGGAGGGGTTTTAGGTATCGTTTTTGGATCTTGAGAAACAATGGCGTTGTTTAGGAAGTTCTTCTACCGGAAGCCGCCGGATGGGCTTTTGGAGATATCTGAGAGGGTTTATGGTATGCTTTTCTGGGCTTTATTTTCTTTCAAATTTGGTTTATTGAAGATGATGTTTGTTAAATTTGGGCAATCGCTTGAATGTGGGTTGTGTTACTGGTATTTTTCCTTCTTTTTGTTCCTTTTTTTTCGTGCGTTGTTAGAAACTCAACTAAGTGCTGCTTGTTTGCAATTTGGGAAGATGTCTATATTTGGAGATGCATATTTACTGTGCCTTTTGGCGTTCCTAAGAATGAAGTGAACTGCATTAGTTGGACAGAATCTGCATGAATGGAACTGCATTAGTTTGACCGATACAGACATTGGGGAGGCTCTGTTTAATATGTCCTGGGAATAGGGTTTAGGCTTGATTTGTGGGCACACGCCGGACAAGTTTAAAGTTCCCGTATAGCCCTAGAATTTTTTATCTGGCAATTAACTATTGTGTTCTAAAGTTGAAAGAAGAAAAGAAACTAAAGTCGCTACTTATTGTGAAACTTTATTTTGGTGTGGTGATATACAAATTTCGCACAGATACAAAGTACGCATGAATGTGGAGTTTATCAAATTTTGAGTGTTCTTTATGTACTTCCTAATATGTATATCCTTCAACAGTTGAACGCTGATGAATGTTTCAGAAGGAAACAATTTGTTTTGTATTTGCTGGCTTGTTCACGTGTTCTGTGTATGGTTATGCCCTTACGCTGCAGAAGAATCTAAATTATGTATATTTACTTGTTGGTAATTATTTTCTATACACGTGTAGTTTTTGATTGCTGTTTTACCACCGACGTTTTGGAAGAAGATGAATATAAAGTCTACATAGGAGGCATAGCAGGACAACTGCGTGATCAGTTTCCTGATGCGTCATTCATGGTCTTTAACTTTCGAGATGGAGAAAACCAAAGCCTGCTTTGCAGCATATTGTCTGAGTATGACATGACAATAATGGACTATCCTCGCCACTACGAAGGTTGCGCACTACTCACAATGGAAGCGATCCACCACTTCCTGAGGTCAAGTGAAAGCTGGCTTTCACTTGGGCAACATAATGTGCTCTTGATGCATTGTGAACGAGGTGGTTGGTTGGTATTGGCATTCATGCTGGCTGCACTCTTGATTTACAGGAAGCAGTACACTGAGGAGCACAAGACGTTGGACATGATTTACAAGCAAGCACCTAGGGAACTTTTGCAGTTAATGTCACCGTTGAATCCCATGCCTTCGCAACTGAGGTATTTGCAGTATATAACAAGAAGAAATGTGGGATCAGAATGGCCTCCACTGGATAGGGCGCTTACGTTGGACTGCATCATCATTAGATTTATTCCTAATATGGATGGAGAGGGAGGTTGCCGTCCAATATTTAGAATATATGGACAGGACCCTTTTATGGCTGCTGATCGAACTCCTAAAGTTTTGTTCTCAACTCCAAAAAGGAGCAAATTAGTACGACATTACAAGCAGGTGGTTGAAGTCATTTTACTCTCATTTATATGTTTTTTCTTTTGGTAATTGTAGATTGCATTTTTCTCTTCCTGAACAAGGAAGAGCTTTTTGTTGGTAATTTGTTCTCATGTGCTTGGATTGTTACCCTTCCAACTGTACTCTTAAGTTCTTAACTGCCCTATTGGAAGTTTTTGGAAATCTGTTCTCATGTGCTATTATCTTAAGTTGGATAGTTGCATGTCATGGTTTCTTTTATCTATATGTTGATGCTTTGCTTTGAACTTCATTTTAATTCTTAACTTCTTGGTGCAGGCAGATTGTGAACTAGTTAAAATTGATATACATTGCCATATCCAAGGTGATGTGGTTCTAGAGTGTATTAGTCTGGATAGTGATCTGGAACGCGAAGAGATGATGTTTCGGATAATGTTCAATACGGCCTTTATAAGGTCCAATATTTTGATGCTTAATCGTGAGGACATAGACATCTTATGGAATGTTAAGGATCAATTTCCCAAGAATTTCAGAGCAGAGGTACTCATCTACCCTTTGTGTTCTCCTTTTTGTTTAGTGAAATTTCAACTTCATGTTTAGGAGCACATGGTAGTCATTATCACTACTGTTAATAATTTTATCTGGATGAAGGTTCTTTTCTCGGAGATGGATGCTGCTTCTTCTCTTATATCTATTGATTTGCCTGGTATGGAGGAGAAAGATGGCCTTCCTGTGGAAGCTTTTGCAAAAGTTCAGGAGATTTTTAGCAACGTAGATTGGCTAGATCCAAAGGCAGATGTAACGCATGTGCTCCAGAAGATTGCCTCGTCAGGCGTTCTTCATAAACTGGATAGTGCTTCTTTGCATAATGTAGAAACGGGCAGCTTGTTGCTGGACTCAACTCCTGAAAAACTTAAATCAGAAGTGAAGTCATCAGAAAATGATATCAATAGTCCCACATTCATGGCTCAGGGGAAACATGATAGTGCTTCTGGTTATACTACAGAGACAGGGAGGTTTTCGCTTGAATCAATTCCTGAAAAACTTCATTCAGAAGATAAATCAATAGAAAATGATGTCAGGAGTCTCACATCTGTGGCTCAGGGAAAGCATGATGGTGCTTCTGCTCATACCACAGAGACAGGCAACTTACTGTTAGAATCACTTCATGGAAAAGTTAAATCAGAACCAAAGGCATCAGAAAATGTTAATAAATCAGAAGTGAACTCATCAGCAACTGATATCAAGAGTACCACATCTATGGCTCAGGGGAGACATGATAGTGCTTCTGCTCATGCTACAGAGACAGCCAACGTGTTGGTAGAATCACTTCCCGAATGCCGCAAAACAGAACCAAGGGCATCAGAAAATAGTATCAAGAGTCCTCCATATATGGCTCTTGGGAAACTATCTATCACCAACATTCAACCGTCTCTAGACAGCGGTTTAATCAGAAAAAAGATTGAACCCCAAGACCTACAAGCTGCTCTCCTACACCCTACCCATTCTAAAATCATATCTCAGAGAGCACGTCAAGGTTCCCTATCTGCACCAGTTTCATTTTGTAATTCCTTGCAAGGATCGCCTGTGCCGATATCAAGATATCAAAGTGCACCCTCAGCTCTTGGCATTACAGCTCTGTTGCAGGATCATGCTACATATAATAGGGAAGACCAAATCCGACAGCCTGAAACTGTATCTCCCCCATTGCATGCCACATTAGCTCCTGATTTAACTCTACGGTCTCTACCTAAATCTGTCCAACCTGGTAAGTTGTATTTTCCCGCACCACCACCTTCTTCGTTGCAGTTTTCTGGGCTTGCAACTGTAGAAAAGGTTTCTGTTGCTACTCCACCTTCTCCTCTGCCACTAGAACTTCTACAACAAACTTCAAATTCCCCAGAGTCTTTGCTTAACGAGCACACTAAAACTACATTACAGGGTAAAGGTCAGTTAGCATCTGTTCCTCTTCCCCCTCCACCTCCACCTCCACCTCCACATCGTAGTCAGTCAGTGACATCTTCATCCTCTGACAGCAAGGGCTCAGTTTCAATTCCCCCTCCCCCTGCACCTCCTCATTTTTCAGGGGCATCTCCATCTTCCCCTGTCAAGAACTCAATTTCAGCTCCCCCTCCCCCACCTCCACCCCCATCTTTTTCAGGGTCATCTCCATCTCTCTCTGTCAAGAATTTAATTTCATCGCCCCCTCCTCCTCCTCTGCTCCCTTCATCCTTGGAGGAATCTCCATCATCCTCTCTCAAGCACTCAAGTTCAGCTCCCCTTGCTCCTCCCCCTCCTTCATCCTTTCTAGGAACATCATCCTCTGTCAAGAAATCAGTCTCACCCCCCACTCCCCCTCCACCTCCCCCTTCCTTCCAGGGAATGTCATCCTCTGTCAAGATCTCAGTTTCAACCCCACCTCCCCCTCCTCCACCTCCATTTCAGGAAGGCCACCGTCATCCACAGTCAAGAACCCCTCCACTGAAGCTCCCCCTCCCCCTCCACCCCTTGGTTCTGCTTCTTCCGCAGTCACGTCTAGCCCCACTCCACCTCCTCCACCTCCTCCACGTTTAGGCCCTGCCTCAACTTCAACTGTAACACCTTCTGCACCACCACCGCCCCCTCCTCCAGCTTTGGCACCGAAGGAGTCCTTATCCCAGAATGCTGCACATGTGCCACCTGTACCACCTCCTCCTCTTCCCAATGGGGTATCAAAATCTGGTGGTTCCCCCACATCCAACTCCAGGGATAGTAATGGTAATATTCCTTCAATTCCTGGACCACCTTCTGGTGTTCCATTTAGTCTGAAGGGACGGGGCCTAACGCGTCCAAGTTCTAGAAATCAGCCTCAACCTAAAAAGGCCAATCTAAAGCCATATCATTGGCTAAAATTAACAAGAGCGATGCACGGAAGCTTATGGGCTGAAGCACAAAAAGCTGATGAAGCAACCAAGTATGCCATTTTTGTAAATAATTTATTAGTTTTTATAAATTCATACAATTGGCTCCCTATTATTCTGAATCTGTTGCTCTGCTCCAGGCCTCCAGAGTTTGACATGAAAGAACTCGAGAGTCTTTTTTCTGCGGCTGCTCCAAATTCAGACAATGGGAATACGGTTGGAAAATCTGGTGGCCATGCCAAAGGACCTAAATCTGAAAAAGTTCAGCTGGTAATTTGCATTGCATACTGGTTTTACTTCATTTGTGGGTAACTAGAGTTGTGTCGATCTGTAATACAGGGTGGGCTTACCTGACCCAGTATACATCAGTATGCAATATACTAGGTCAGGTAAGCAACAACAAGCTAGCAATGAATTAAAGTGCGCAGAATTATAAAGTTAGCACTCTCCTTTTTTTTTTTTTCCACAGAACCAATAGCAATTGTGCTTGGTCATAGAGTCTATTATTTCTTGCACGAGCTCTCCTTTTTTTGCATATTGGAAAAATCTGGTAAATGTGTTATTGCTAGTTAACTGGCTTGAAATGAGGATCTGTCTAGCGTGTTTTTGGTTTTACCTTTTTGTTGTTGTATTGAATTAATTGAATATAGTCTTCCTTTGCCACCTCAATTCTAATGAGAAATTTACTGGCTCTTGCAGATTGAGCTAAGACGGGCATATAATTGCGAAATAATGCTTACTAAAGTAAAAATCCCTTTGCCTGATTTGATGGTAAGCTAAACCTAAATGGACAAGTTTTCTTGTATATCCTCAACAGTTTGAGTTAGTCTGTGGTTCTATAAACAAAGAAATGGGAGTTAAATACTGATTAAGTTACAATTTCAAAACTTCAAATACTAGCAAGTAGTGGCTGTTTCTTTGCTGAAAAGATGCATGATATCAACTTGTGTTCTGATTTTTGGATGTTGGGTGCAATGATCTTGGTACAGAAAAGTTCCTACATTAACAATAGCTTGTCTAATTTGTTCCTTTTCTTTCCTACTGACATCTTTCAGAGTTCAGTGCTTGCCTTGGACGATTCTGCATTAGATATTGATCAGGTTGAGAACCTCATAAAATTTTGTCCAACAAAAGAAGAGATGGAATTACTCAAGGTACTTTTATCTCGTTGTAATCTTCTGCTTCATGCCACTGTGAGAGCTTCTAGAAATATTCCCTTGTTATTTTTATTTTAAATTGCTTACAATGAGTATACAAGGCTTCTGTTTTCTGAGTAACAAATCATGCTTTGGTGCTCAGGGTTACAATGGAGACAAGGAAAACTTGGGAAAATGTGAACAGGTGAGTGGATTTTTCGTTTTCCCTCTTTCCCTTACCTCTCCTTTCTTTTCAATTGAGAATTCATTTTGTTGACAGCAAGGCAAGTGCTGACTTTATAATTCTGCGCATTTTAATTATATGCTAGCTTCTTGTTGCTTGCCGTTCGGCTGAATAAAATATATTTTGGTGTCAACTGTATAACTCTAGATGCTCTTGAATTTAGTCTTAGTTTTGTTTTAGTACCGAACTCTTTGGGAGAAATCACATTGATAAGAATCTTAACTCCCTTCTCCCAGTGTCTCTCTCTACATTTTATGCTTTAATTAATTGCTTTGTGCATTTTATGACAGTTTTTCCTTGAACTAATGAAAGTTCCACGGGTAGAGCCCAAGCTCAGAGTTTTCTCATTTAAAATACAATTCCATACCCAGGTGAGGGGACTGTATTATTCCCAATGTGTTCTGTTTCTGTTGTGCTTCATGTTATTCACTTGTCCATGGTGTTGCAATTTGTCAGGTTTTCGACCTCAGAAGGAATTTGAACACCGTCAATTCAGTGGCTGATGAGGCAAGCAACTTTTCATTTTTGAGTACTTATGTTTTCATTTGTGATTGATAAGTTCACCTCTTAATCTATTTCCACTAACGTGCTTATCAGATCAGAAGTTCGGAAAAGCTGAAAAGGATCATGCAAACCATTCTTTCTTTGGGTAATGCCTTGAATCATGGGACTGCAAGAGGTGAGTGGATTTTGTTGGTTACCATTTTGTGTTAATACATCATCATGATGTATATGGTTTGAACACATGGTGAATCACTGCATACATTGACTATGGTGTGATAAAAATGAAACAAAGTTGCAAGTTAGGGTTGGGCAGATTTGTAATTGTTGCAAAATGTTGTAAATAAGCTAATTTGTCCTTGTTTTGCATTGATTAATTTTGTTCGTAGTCTTTTTAATTATACCTGTAGGTTCTGCTATTGGATTTCGATTGGATAGTCTCCTTAAGCTCACTGATACACGAGCCCGTAATAACAAGATGACTCTCATGCATTACCTCTGTAAGGTGATTTCTTTAAAGCCTTTTAGTCCATTCTTTTAATCTTTTGTGGAACTTTTCTCCTTCACTTGGTGCATATTGATCTGGAGAAGTTTAAGCATATAGAAAACGTTTATTTGGTTACGTCCCAAACTGATCTTATTGATGGAGTTGTTCTATTAGTGTATAATTTTTAACTTTGACAATTCTATAAAATTCCTCTCCAACAAACCACAGGTGCTTGCAGAGAAGCTGCCAGAACTTCTTGATTTTCCGAAAGACCTAGTTAGTTTGGAGGCTTCAACAAAGGTATTATGTCTCCCTTTTTTTTTTTCTCCCCTAATTCTTGTAGGTAAAGTGAACTTTTATACATTGGGTGCAGACTGAGCTAAATTTTAATTACGATGTAGGTACAATTGAAATATTTGGCAGAGGAAATGCAAGCCATTAGTAAAGGGCTAGAGAAGGTTGTGCAAGAGTTGACTGCCTCCGAAAATGATGGTCCTGTGTCAGAAACGTTTTGCAAGGTGACATGCATAAACTATTTGGCACATTTGGCTTGCAGAAACTATATTAGATGACGCAATTGGCTCACATATAAAACTTAAAGACCATCATAATAAACACTTGATCACCAATAGCAAAGTTCAACAACTGCCTCTCATTCAAGTTGTTATACAAAGATCATAATGTGCTTGTGATTTCATCCTGTTTTTGGCATATCTATTTTGATGCTAATTTAATTTATCTACTGATAAATGTTCAGACGCTAAAGGAGTTTCTCGGTCATGCTGAAGCCGAAGTGAGGTCGCTGGCATCACTTTATTCTACTGTGGTATGTCTCAATTTTTTTAAGCTGTTGGGTTTGCTTGTGACATCTTAAGAGAAACATTGTTAAACTTACCTTCATCGTGGTTGTCTTCAGGGGAGAAATGCAGATGCATTAGCTCTTTATTTTGGGGAAGATCCTGCTCGTTGCCCGTTTGAGCAAGGTACATTTTTTCTAACTTTGTTGTGTTTCTGATTTTCTATGAACCATGGGTAATTCTTTTCATCCATAAATATTCTGTGACGATTCAGAAGTAGTCTTGGTCTATACCCTCTGCGTTGAGTGTTGCGCATTCTTAGGAACATGCAAACTGTTTATTGATCCTCTTACTAGATGCTAAGAATGAAGTAATGTGATTTCACGGACAATATTTACTCTTTAACTGCATTATCGTATTTTCGTATTGATTTTTGAAATTTGTCGTGCAGTTGTATCTACTCTGTTCAACTTTGTGAAGTTGTTTGTCCGAGCGCATGAGGAAAACTGTAAGCAGCTTGAATTTGAAAAGAAGAAAGCACTCAAGGAGGCGGAAAATGGGAAGATGAAAGCGGGAAATCTTTCCAAAAAAGACTCCGAGCTCTTGATACAGAATCAGTATGAGTGCCAGCATTAAGTCGTAATGATATATATCACCGTTGTTCCCTTTCACAACCAAAGCTGTTCTCCGGTGGATATATTTTTTCACTCCGTGGATGAAGTTCGTCGAAAGGTTCAGAGGATCGTGAACACAAATACAGCTGAGACATCCAATTCTGGTGACGTGCAGAAGAACGTTTTCGTCTTCATTTTAAAGTAAAGCCGGTGGTGGTATACAGAAGGAAGAGGTCACCTTAAGTAGTAAGCCCATTTCATCCTCTCATTTTGTTTTCGGAACTTCTGATCCGTCTCTTGTGATTTCTTTGTTGTTTTCGTTAATTCAGTTTAATGTTTTCTGGAGCAGAGATGCTGGAGTGTATACGGAGTCCGGTTCAACAAGCGACTTGTACCATACGAATGAAGAATTTTGTTGTATAAATATACACAGTAGCTAGCTTTTTAGGTTTCCTTTTCGGCTTTTCCCATCCCTAATTTTAGTTGTAGGGATGTAAATCTTTGATACAAGGGAATAGAAAAAGGCAATATAATCTAATTTTTTTGAGAATGGGCCATAAGAATGACGAACATCGTAGTATATGCCCTGACGTATCTTATAATGTTAGGATTTTTACCATTAGATTTAACGACTAAAATTTCAATGAATAGGATACACCGAAACATCCTAGAAAATCTCATACGACAAAGACAATTTAATGGGATGCAGAAAACCAACTATTTGCTCTCCCTCCCAAGGGCTCTTGGTATAGAGGAAAGGACAAAGACCGGAGCTATGATTTTTTGGTAGGTTTTGGTCTTTGTCTTGAAGCTCTAGTCAGTTGTGCTTATTGTCTACAACTTTGGGTTGGTATTATTATTCAACTAAATGGATAATGACATGGTGAAAATGGTTAATCATGTGACATAATCAAATCCCTAGTCAAAATTTCCATGACGTATAGCACCAACCACTCTCATGTCACTTTGGGCACACGTGTTCAAGTTTGAGACTCTCGGGAAAGTGCGGAATTGAAGACAAGACCTCGGATGAATGAATGAATGAATACTCAACCACTTAAATTGCAAGCTTTTGAATATTAATATTACTCATTTGTCTAATAATTATGTTGAATTGCAGCGGATAACTTACAAAATACAATGTATGTTGAAAAGTAAAGGTGAATGATTTTTCATTTTGTGGTGATCGAAGGGGATAAGACACGAAGGAAACTCATCATTTCGTGGGAATTTTGAATGATAAGCTTTCTTAATGTGTTATCCGTCTTCGACCGTCAAGTTTGACAAATTTGCTTCATTTCTTTCTCCTACGTATCTTGACTATAAGGAGTTATCCGCTCCAATCTATGAATTTGGTCTATTTGCAGGTCTTGCAATCGAACGTGCAACTGCAGCAACTAAAGTTTGTGTGAAATCAGGATCCTTGGTTAACGAAGCAACGTAATCCTCAACTCTTCTGGAGCTAACCATGCTTTGAGGGCTTCCCAATCCTCCATTTTCTTGATTACTGGATCCCGAGAGACTGAGATCGAGCGTTACAGGCTCCGGCGGAGAGGGACTTATATTAATCACGTCATTATTAGTCCCGATACCACTTGAAGGAAAATTAACGGGCACAATTATGTTCTTATGTGAACATGAAAATTGTCCAAATAGTGCAGAATCATTGATGGCGTCGTGGTTGTGCTCTCCTTCGTATGTCGCCACGAGGATGGAATCATCCTCTATGCACCTCTGTACCTAAAATTCAGGCAGCGGAAAACACAGGATAAACAAGTTTAGCTAAAAGAAAAAATATTAGTTGAATTCATTTGCAAATTAATAAAAAAAAACTTAATTTCTTTGGGCAAATGGTTCATTTATACGTACCTTCTTTTTGACAGGGCATCGAGGAGCGAAGGAACACCTGAAATAAGCTCGAGGGGATGAAGGGTTGTCTTTGGTGACCTTCTGTCCATATTTCCTCCATTGATATCCATCTTTCACAATCTAATTAATTTCGTTCAATTAAATTCACAATTAATATTAATAAATAAACCTAATGCTTTTAGGTTTATATCTAATTTTCTACATTATAAGGGAGGACTTGACTTACAAGGCTGTTGTCTTTAGAATCGGTTTTCACTAGGAACTGTGATGTCTTATCGTGGGATGCCGGAAACTGATAGCGATGCTCATCAGTTCTCTGTCTCTTGCTCATAATCGCACTGTTGATATTCGTGGTCATGATATGTCGATGATCACACGGTTGTTGTTGGATATGCATATGGCGCAGTTGCTGCTGCTCAAGTGTTGAGCACTTGGCGGTCATAACTTGAAGCAGGAATCTTAGGGTTTCATTCTCTTTCCTCAAACGTTGCAAGTCTTCTGGAACACTGTCTACAACCTGGTCACGATCATCAACCATAATACAAAAGAAAAATCATCAAACAATCTCATAAATTATTCAACCCTAGGTCATGAAGAGTCCGTGGGGGTTAACTCAAGCGGTGATGGTGCATGCAGAAATGAGATAGGATTATGCTACGTCCAAGGAAAGTGGTGAGAGTGCGTGTAGAAATGCGTAAGGATTATGCTAAGTTCAGAGTTTAATTCCCTCCGTTAAACCCATAAATCAAAATCGCGTTTATAGATCAAATTCAGTACCTTTTGCTTGTTAAGGGTATGAGCATCCATGTTTATAGATTCGGATAAGTTGATGTAAAGATTCAAGAACCTGCAGATTGCTGATATAACTATAATGTTAACAAGCTAGGGAGAAGAACAATATATAATCCGATGAAGTAGCAATATATATATACACACACACAGACGCACGCATATATATAGCTATAGGTTTAGGGTATTTGTTGGGGGTCTTGAATCTTGCTGTCAAATTCAAGGAACTTTCACAATTGATTCAACGAATGTTTAGTGGCTTTGATTCCTGGCATGGCTGAGAATTTGCATTGAAATATTGGGTAATATAAGGAACGTGTTGGAGAAATATGATATGACCACTAGTGACGCTCTGATTACACGTAACATGCAACGACGTCACCACATGCACGTCATCATGGGAAACGACGTAAGTTTAGTATTAGTCCGACATGTTTGTTCGAGGAGCCTTTTGAATCTTGACGCTTGCTTATGTTATGGTCTTCGACACGTCACTTTGTTTCACTCTTTTGCCTTTTAATTTTCTAAGATTGTATAAAAGCAAAGAAAGAAAACGAAACGTGGCTTGTTGGGATTTGCTTTTAGGGTGTATTTGAAACGTTATTGTTGTTGTAAGTACCTAATTATTACATAAAAAAACTTAATTAGAATAATAGTTCCGTAGTGATAAGGTAGTCAGAAGATTGTTCTTGTCGTAAAACAAATTGGATTTAAATTCCCATAATGAAATCTGTTAAAATTTAGACCCAAAATTAAAAGTTCCGTCAACTCTTCGTTAATCGTTAGCACGTAAGATTCACATGCTAACAATTAATGCAGAATTCCATTTTAATAGCAAATGTGTGGCTCACATGCTAGCAATTAATAACGAGTTGACGAAATTTATAATTTTAGAGCTAAATCCTTATAGACTTCACCACATAGATTTAAAACCTAATTTTTTTTATGCACAACATCTTTCTTTCGACCTTTCTATCACTATGGGAACTAATAATCGAATTGGACAAAAAAAATTTATTCCATTACTTAAGTATCCATTATGTATATATATTCATCACCTAACAACTTTTTTTGAACAATAGGATTCAAGATTCAAACGAAGAATCTTGTCACCATCAGAACAAAAAAAAAAAAAAAAGACAACCAAACTAAAAGCTAACCGGCAATGACGAAACCAAGAACTTCGAGAAGAACGGGCCGAACACGAACCCTATAGGAAAAGGTTACAAACCAAAAATTTGGTGAATGTTATATTTAGAATTTTCTTTCCTTAGGAGTAGTGGTTGTATTTAAATCAATTTAAAAAGAGAAAAAAAATATTTAAATATGTAGGCATGAAGTTTTCTTCCTCGCCTTAGGCTATAAGCAATCAGCTATGGCTTCTCTTTTCGACGTTGGAGGCAGAAGGCAAGAGCTTTTCCATCTCAGGGAGATCTCATATGTGTAGGAGTTTTGTGCCTCCTTTAGTCCCACATCAGGGAACTCAAGTTCCCTAGAGGCCTTTATTTAGGGTTAGTCACCCATATCGGTGAACAGGTATTATACCATTTGAAATGAGGATTGAGGTTTTCATTAATTGTGTGAATTAAGCTTGATGATTATACTATAATATTAATATTAATTAATCAAGACAAAGTCCAAAGGGCGCTTGGGGCCTAAGTAATTAATTTTAATTTCAATTTTGAATTAAGTTTTTAATTAAATTAATTAATTTTAATTTCAATTTTGAATTAAGTTTTTAATTAAATTAATTAATTTTAATTTCAATTTTGAATTAAGTTTTTAATTAAATTAATTAAAAACGTTTTGATTAATAGACATAAATGTTTAAAAAGAGTTGTGTGGTTTTAGATACATCCAAAATGTATTTGAAGCGGTATGAAAAAGTCTATATAATTGAAGTCTTAGTTCTATTGTATATTATCTTTTCTTTTTCCCATTTCTCCCATACAAAACCTTACAGAGAATAAACACTCAAAGCAATTCGCCAAAATTCTATAATCTAGCGCGGGTTGTAGAATTAGACAGTTGTATCCTGGTCGAGCAGAGACGTCGTAGAACCACAAGCACAAGAGTGGGACAGAAATACTGTTCGAATGACATAGCTTTTGCGCTAGCCTCTATCTGTGATTCAATCAAGTTAGTATCAATTTAATTTATGTATTTATTTTTGTTATTTAATTTTGTATTGCAAGTATATTTCATTAATAAAGAATTAGTATTTCAATTTCTGTTATTTTATTTATTTTATGAATTGTTCTCTAACAATATGGTGTAGGTTGTAAGGGCCATGTCAAGCCGCTCTGGTGCTCTGTCCCTGCCAGTTGGTACATAAACATCTTTGATTATGTATATTTCAACTTAACACTACATAAAACGTATTGGAAAATAGTTTTCACAATGTTAACAGCTTATAATTATAGACGAGTCTTCTCTCTAATTAAGCCCCTAATTATTTACCCTGAGTAATTAACCTTTACTTTCATATGGCTAGCTACTTATGGCATGTTTACGTAAGGGTAATCGGAATAAAGAAAGGGAATTGAATTCCGATTACGGAGTATTCCGGTGTTTACTAAATATTAAGGAATCAAAAAAGTGGTGGAGCCCACACGAAACAAGGAATCCAATTCCTGAAATTGGAGGAACCGGATTCCCTAGTTTTGTGAGGTATTTGAATTCCCTAAGGGCAAGGGAATCAGGAATGCATATTTTATTCCAATTATGCCCTCACTTGTTTCTTATTATCCCAACATTGCCCTTCATTTGACACTCATTATGTCATTTTTAATAAATAAATAAAACCTATTTATATTTTTTTATATAGATAATTTTATTATATAAATTTAATTAAGAATTTAATTTAATTAATTAGTATGAAAATAATTTATTTATGTAAGGGCAATTTAGTCATCAACTTAGTTTTCTTTCCGATTGAAGTGAATTAGTAAACAACTTATATAGACTCAATATCATTTTTGCCATCTTTTAATAAATAAATAAAAACCTATTTATACATGCTTATATAGATGAATTTTATTATATAAATTTAATTAAGAATTTAATTAAATTATTAGTATGAAAATAATTTATTTATGTAAGGGCAATATAGTAATCAACCTAGTTTTCATTCCGATTGAAATGAATTAGTAAACAACTTATATGGACTCAACATCATTCCTACTCCGATTCCTGACAGTTTTAGTAAACAACTTCAACAGGAATCTGATTCTGATTCCATCTCATTTCAATTCCTCCTCAATCCAATTCCCCCTCAATCCAATTCCTCTCAATTTGATTACGGATTAGTAAACGCGCCATTATTGTGGTAATCAAAGATGGAATTGAAGAAGATGGCGATTTGCTGCAGTGATGGAAAACAATAATGTTTATGCACTTTGGTGTGAGTTCAATTCTCATAACATTTAACAATTTAACTCACTAATACCTATGAAAATAAAAATTAAAAAAAGGGTGAACTACCAATTTTAGTCTCTGAATTATTATGTAAGTGAAAATTAGGTCCCTAAATAATTTTTTTTCTTCAAAAAAATCAGTCATTGAATTATAAAAATCTACCTATTACATCTCTAATATTATATTCGAAGCTATTATATTCAATTTTCCGTCAATTTAAGTCACGTTACTTGCATATGATACACATTGGAGGATAGATTGGTAATTTTTCATAAACAAATAGCGTATGGAGTTAACTTTGGAGGGTAAATTAGACGTTAGATGACACACCCCGTCCCGAAGGAGGGCATGCTGGCCGTCACGTGAGAGTGACGTAACCATTTACACAGTACGGAAGCTTTAAGATACAATTTATAAGTTGATACACCCGAAGGTGAGTCCTAATTTTGTCCAATCTGTCAGAACACCGTCAAATTCCTCGTAGTCACCACACCTTTGTGATTCCTGAACCTGGAGGGGCGCAAAACCAAAATTGAGTGGGTCAGTAAAACCATTCTTTTCCAAATCCAAACATTTCTCAAAACGTTGTAACCCCTCTCCGTAAAACCCGTATACTTTCCCAGAAATGTAAAATATAAATATACATATATATTCTCAAGACTTCAAGTCATTAACTCAACATTTTCATCATAATTATGCCATGCCACATCATCTCAACATTTCTCATATTAATTATGCCATGCCACATCATCTCAACAGTAATAAGGTATGAATGCATCAACATAAATCATATCAGGTGCAATAAAGTAATCAACCGGAGGCCCTCTATTAGCCCGGTTGAACCTAGAGCTCAAAATCTATCACTCTCACACTCTGCCGGAGTCACTCCGCGTGACCTGTACGGCCTTCTGCACATAAGTTACGCTCTAGTGCTTCTCATAAATCATCTGTGCACATAATCTAAGGTCACCCACCAGTCGGAATCTCACTAACACTCTCGCGACTGGCCTGTCGTACCCACTCCGCGTGGACTGTACGACTAGCATCTACTTGGATCCAAGGCGAGCGTGCGATGCGGTGAATACTATAAGCACTAAACTATGGTGCAGGATTTAAGCTCAATATACATCAACATCATCATAACAGAAATAACTACTCACCTGTGCGTCCACCGCACCATTTCATACATATGCATCATAAATCAATTCTTACCTGTGCGTCCACCGCACCAATTCATACATATGCATCATATATTAATTCATACCTGTGCGTCCACCGCACCAATTCATACATATGCATCATATATTAATTCATGCATGGCATTTCAACTCACATTTCTATATACTTTTCATATCAATTCTATGCATGGTATTTCACTTCCCGTTTTTCCACATAACTCATATGCATTTCATTTTAAACATATTTTCATTTTAATTCAATTTCTGGGAAACGTCAAGTTTATATATATACGGAAAACAAAACTGCCCACTCACTAAGGTAACCTCTGATCATCCAGATCGATGGAAAGTGACTGGTTTCCCGTAACATTCCATCTAATCACAACTATAAACAATCAATCTAATGGAATAAAATTAACTGACCCAATACATACTTTATTATTACTGAACATTCTAAATAAGTACAACACTAACATAAAATAACCTACCGGTTTGCTTGCTTAACGAATCCACGAATGAGTTATTAATATTACGGTCTGCAGCCCACAATACTGATAAATCATCGTTGTCTCGATAAGTAGTCAACCACTCTCAAAGATATAACATACATAATAAGAAATATATCAGCCGAAGTCAACTAGAATGACCAATACGGCTGATTCAACTCTTATCTCAATAATA